TTGTGACAAAGCATACGTTCGCTGAGGCATTAGGGCCAGCCTATATTACAACCTATACACCTACCGCTATATGTAATGCCTTCAAGTCTACTGGAATTTGGCCGTTCAATCCCAATGCCATTAGTCCAGATTGTCTGGGTTTCTCATTGACAACAGAACGAAGGTGTTAGTTTGTATTCGAATTCTCATGATTTCTACCATAATTTACTGTATGTAAAAAAAAAAAATACTGTTACAAAACTTACCGACTATTGTGATAACACATTGTACATAGTTTAGATAATTTGTGGGATCCCGGTACTTTACAAGTTCAAGAATGATCAGCTTTGTCTTCACAATCTTCACAATCTTCAGAGTTGAACTCAGGTTATACATGCCCTACCAAACCAGACCCTACAAAAGAACAACTAGCATTAGAAGTCGAGTTGCTAAAAAAAAAGGTTGAAATATTAGAAGAAGAACTTGAAACCTTTAAAAGACCTGGTACAAGTTCTTTGAAGTTAGTGCTTAAATATCCCTTGTGACATGATTTGAAACCGGCCAAAGATCTGGAAGTTAACGAAGAGCAATCCGAACCAAGGTTGCCAGAAAGAAAAAAAAGGAAGACTATGCCCTTCTCTCAACTTCTTACAAACGAAAAGTCCTTACAACAATTGAAGGAGGTGGAGAAAGAAGCTGAAAAAGTAGCCAACGAAAAGCAATATAAAAAAGAGATGGCCGCCCAAAAATGAATTGCACGTGAGGCCGAAAAGGCACAAAAAAAAGAGGCTCGAAAGCAAAAAAAGGATGAGATGGAGCATATAAAGGCAGAAAAGCAACGTGTTAAAAATATGAAACTTAAAAAATAGAATTTTAAATTTTTTTTTCAGTGCGCCAATTTAGGATGATCTCTCGATAATCTCGATTTACAGAAGAATATACATAATCGGATAAAGATCAATTTTTTTTCTACTTAAAGTTTTTTTTATAAATAAAGATTTATTTTAAGTTGATATGTGTCGAATTTAGTAAAAACTTGTAAACTTTTATGCCAATTCTGCGAATATTTACTATACATATATTTAACTGCGCCAAATTAGGCATACCTACCTTATATAATTATATTTAAGTTTTACTAAAAAAAAACTTATTTAATATTAAAACTTGTTATTTTTATTATTTGTTTTCATATAATGAATACTAATATAAAAAAGTCAAATGAGCAAAAATCTTAAATAAGAGGTACTATTAATTAAATTACTAGAATTTTTTTTTTTTTTTAAATATTAAGGTGAGTACTTGCGACCCAGGATTTTATTGATAGTATATTTGGCTAATGATTGCTTTACAACCATAGGGGGCAACTATGGAGAGAGTGTACAACTAGCCACTCGTGCAACTTTAGTTATTGTCTAATTTAAGTAGTCCGCCCAAAGGTTCTACACTAGCTGCTATACCTAGAACCTGCTTGTAAGTTTCTTATTTAACTACTCTGTTCTTATATCCACCTATCTATCTATATCTACCAAGATGCCTTAGCCAATGCAGATGAAAATATGCCATAGCCACTAAGTCTTTAAAGCAGTTCTTTGGAACTTTTAACTTTGTACTAAACCTTCCAGAATCTTCTGTATTCCATTCTTACAGCTGACCTGGTATCACTATGGCCAAGACCAACACTGGTGGTCAGGGTGTACTATTAAACCACTATGCCCTTGTAGAGTTCACCCTAACCCTGGTACATACTTCACAACATATTCTTACTACTTTGGTATTCAATTCAAGTTTCATCAAGTTGCCATTCCAGATAGTCCAGAAAGGTAGGGTGAGACCATACCTCTGGTTTATATGTTTGCCAGCATGTACCCTTTTTCTTTGGAACTCGGAAATTCTGGCAGCCTGGTTGATTCACCCGGTTCCTCTTCAAAGACTAACACATTTGCCTGGTTTTACAAGTTCTAGCTTTGTTTCATAAGTCTAGTCTTTACAGTAGCACCGTCGAAAGCTCGGGTTACCTCTCTACTTGGGTCTTCCAAGTGGGCTTCCATCTTTTTTCTATTGGTTTCTATGATTTACATGGCCACAAGGACTTATTGTAGGTTTGCACCACCCAGTATCAGTTTGCATTCCTTCATGTAACCACAAACCTTGTCCCAAAGGACAATGTCATGTGACTGTTACACAAATGCCATGTGACCTGCCAGTCATGCTAGTGCGATATAGATTACAGGTGTCTTATCCTAACCAATTGTGAGAGACAGTTAACTGTAATACAGAGAGGATTTTCAAATTTTCTGTTGACACTAGGATTTGAACTCTGAATCTGCCACTTGGGGGTTGATAACCTAACCACTTCACTAGGTTGCCACACCCCTTTAGATTACTAGAATTAGATTAGATAAAAAGAATATTAGGCTAATCTGATATACTAAAAAATAGGTCATAATTCTACTAGACTATTTAAATTAAAAGTCTGAAGACAAAACAGAAATATTTTAAATATGCTGTAAAGTAGTACTAGGATTCAAATAAACTTTGTAAAAATATAGCAGTTTAATAACTAGTTCTGATTACAAATATTAGTTTAGTCATAGCAATATCAGATCAGCTATAAAATAAATATTAAAAGGTTTTAGAAAGTTTATCTTAAGGATAAATTAGTTTTAAAATTAAAACAATAATTCAAGTATAAGTTAGTAAAGTTAATACAGATTGCAGATTCAGAGAATTTAAAATAAAACACTCAAGCAGAAATGTTAGATATAACAATTAGTAGAAAACCTTTAGACAGACACTTTAAATAGGTAATATAAAAAAGTTATATATATAGCCAATTGTATACTTCTATAATAGTTTTTTTTTTTTTTTTTCAGTATTAAGGTGACCTCTTTGGTCCAAGCTTTTTATTAATACTTATAGTAGGTACATGTTT